TTGTGTGACATGATGCCCCAAGTTCATTTAGCACATTTCCTGCTTTAGACCTGGTACCAGCCGTTTGGCCTAGGAGCCCTGCTATTAGGAGACACAGTCGAGGGGCCCTGAGAGGGGTCAACTTTTGATTCTAAGATAGAAGCCAGAGCTTTAGGACCCAAGAGGCAGGTCACAAACAAAAGAGCTACTCCGCAGTCCTCTGTTCCCTTTGTCTTTTGCTCAAGACGATGCTAAACAACATTCAGATGTTCCCAACACTGGTCGGCCAGTTCCCTTCCTTTTTACTCAGAAATCTGAGTAGTTTCTGAGCAGCCCCTCCTTGACAGGGGACTGGGTGGAGACAGGAGGCTTGGAAACATTTGCACGCGGCTCAGCACCAAGCTCTGAGCGCATCTGCGTCAGAGGAGGTGACTTGACAGACAGTGGTCGCTTCCAATCAAACTCTCTACCTCCTGGGAGGCAGGCTTAATGTTCCATTTCTTAGTAGGAATATTAAGCACAATTTCTGGGCAAAGAGCAATTCTCAAAAGGAGTCTGCAAACATTATGTGTTCTATTTCTGCCAACTGAGTAATATATCTTTCTGGGAAAGATACTTGGACAAATTTACGTAATAAAAAAATATATGGGGCCCCTGGGTGGCTCAGTCGGTTGAGCATCCGACTTTGGCTCAGGTCATGATGTCGCGGTTCGTGGGTTCGAGCCCCGCATTGGGCTCTATGCTAACAGCTCAGAGCCTGGAGCCTGTTTCAGATTCTGTGTCTCCCTCTCTGACCTTCCCCTGTTCACGCTGTCTCTCTCTCTCAGAAATAAATAAAACATTAAAAAAATTTTAAAAAATAGATGACAGTCACAACTGTATAATTCCATTTGTCCCACAAGAGAGGGAAACTCCTCACTTATGGTGAATGAAGGGCAGGGGCTCAGGGTGTTCCTGGAGTGGAGTGTGGCCCTGTCTCAGAACAGTCACACTCAGCAGAAGGGGGGCTTGGGGATGCCAGCCCCCCAGAAAATTAGCTCCAGAAACAATGTGTGGGAAATATTTGTTGGCTCACAAACTTTTGCAAAGAATATAATGAAAAGTGAAAACTCTGAGAAAATTTGAAAAAAAGTCCAATTCTCAGAAATACATGAAATGATGTTAACATTTTTTTTCTCATCTCTAGTATCATGAGTAGGTTCAGAAAAATATTAAGTTCCCTTTGACCATCTTTAAAAAAAAACCAAAAAAACGAGTGGTGTCATTCAATGGCAAGAGCACCTCAGGGACCAGAGCTGTAGACCCGGCTCACTGACCTGCTGTGTGATCCTGGCCCGTCTGCGTCCCTCCCTGGGCCTCCGACTGCCCCTCTGTGCAACGCAGATGACAGAGGCTGGGCTGGCCGCGTGGGGTCCGCCAACGAGAGCCCACAGTGTCCACCCACAGGGAAATGGTTAAGTCGACCGTGATAAGCCAAATCATGGCATTCTCTCCAGCTGTTAAACAGAATGAGGTAGTCATATGTGTGCTGGTGTGGAAAGATGGCCAAGCTGTGTTAGGTTTGAAAAGAAAATGAGTGATGATCTAGTTTAATGGGAAAAAATAAAAACTCTATGGTTAGCTCTTTCCAGGAAAAACAAAACCCTAGATGAGACACACCACACTGTTAATAGCAGTTACCTCTGAGGATTGGCCAGTTTTACTCATTATTTCTGTATCGTTGGAATTCGTTTAGAATGAGCATGTATTACTTTTTAAATTTAAAACACATTTTCATTTAAAAAGTGAGAGAGTCCGACCCTCTAGGTTTGGGATGGAGCCCATGAATCTGAATTTTTTGTTTTCTAAGTGCTTTCAGATAAAACGACTGAACCAAGGTCACCGAGTTCTCTTGCAGCTCCAACACTTCACTCCCCAAAGTTCATTTGACTCATGACGTTGGAAACAGGAAGAGAAGGACCAAATGAGAAAAGGAGGCGCAAGACAGAAAACCGAGCATTGGAAGTACCACCAGCAGTCTGTTCGGCTCTGCGTTTCCCAGGTGCCCGGTTTCCAGCAGTCCTGGGGCAGGACTCCCCCTGGCCAGGGTCCCCATTTGCATGAGGACACTCAGGCTCAGAGTGGCTAAGTCCTCCCAGCAAGTCACCCAGTTGGTAAATGGCAGAGCCGGGACCACGACCCCAGGCTAACTCCGGAGCCAGTGCATTTTCCACCCCACCCGCCATCCGGGTCCTGAAATACTTTCCTTACTATGATCATCAAGGACTGTGTTTGTAGTTTAATGGTATCAAATAGCTTCTCATGGGAAAGGAGGGAGGAAGAAGGCATAACAGCAACTGACATCTAATAAGGGCTCACTGTGTGGCAGGTCCTGTGCTAAGCATTACTTTTATTCCTACAGTAGGGCAACCAAAAAGGTACTGTTTTCACCCCCATTTTATGGATGATCAGACTGAGGCTCAGATTAAATAACTTTGCCCTAAATGAATAAAAGTTGGTAGTGGGGTTGAACCCAGGCCTTCCACCTGAAGGCAAGCAAAGAGCAGGGAGGTGGGGAGAAAGGGAAGAGAAGTGAGAACGTTCCTCAGCCTCCACGGGCGCCTGTGTCTCAGGGCTGTCATCGCCTCACACAGCAAGGAGTCCCTGGGGCCTTCCTGAAGGAAAGCGCAGCCTTAACGGCCCAGCCCAGCGCTGCCGGGACGCCAGCCAGCCTCCCTCTGTCTCATAGTGGATTTCCTTTGCCTACAATGATAGGTATCCAGTTTCACCAAAGGCCCCCAACTCCCGGATCTGGTTTTAATCAGGAGCTACAGCTGAGCCCTAGCGCAATTGTCCTCGGCTGGGGCCAGATGGAGCCCAGCCACCTTCCCTTCCCCCAGAAGTCTCCTGGAGAAAGAGCTTTGTCTTTGGGTGGTGGCCCCCTGGAGGCACCATTCAAGGCCCCTTCCTTGGGGCAATGTCTGCAGAGGCTGGGCATGGTGACATAGAAGATGCAGGTATCAGGCCAACAGCCTCTCATGACCAGGATGGAGAGCTCGCATTCCTCTCTGGTCATCTCACTGTGTGCAATTACAGACCTCACCTGCATCTCTTCCGTGCCCGGGAGGGCTGCTTGGCCAGACCTGCTGTTCTTATGGAGCCCCTCTTAGGCCTCAAGACAAGGAATCACGACTGAACAACTGTGTGGCCATGTCTGAGACAGAAGCCATAACTACGTGGGCACGTGAATAACTTGATTTATCCCAGCCAGTTGATGGAGAAGTAGGCATTTGAACTAGGAGATGATGGGTAAGGAGGGGTTCTTTGTGCAGTACAGAAGGGCTGGGTAAAGGGAAGTGTGTGGACTTTGGAAGCCCAGGAGTAGTCCACATGGCTGCCTCTGTCTGAGTCAGATAAAGGGACCCCTCTGGGCAGACACGGAAGGCATCTCCTCCCGACTGCAGTGTAGAGTGTGCAGCCCTGGGGCCACGGCGGCTAAATCTTGTCTGATTTTCACATTTTCCTTTCCCCTTCTGATTGTGGAATCTGTGTTTTTTCTAAATGAGGGGATTCTGTGTGGTTACAGTGAGACTAACTCTTAACCCCGACATGGGGTCAGCATTTGATCCCGTCAAAGCCAGTCAGAATACCATCTTCCTGGTTGGGGTGATTGGTTCTGGGAAGGGCGTGTGATCCAAGTTGAGCTAATCAGAACCTTCTTTGGGGCTGCAGGCCAAGCATTCAGGGAAGAGATGCCCCCTTTTGGCTGGGTTTGCTGGCTCTGAGTGTTAGGTAAGCCCAGAGCTTTCGAGCTATTGTGTGTTACTTTTGGGAAGATTCTGCCTGAAGATGAAGCCAACAGAGAAAAATACACAGCTGAGAAATTGAGAGAAAGAGAATTCTGGGACTGTTTGATACTCTTTAAACTCGCTCCTGGAATATTCCAGTTACAAGAACCAGTAATTTCTCTTTTTTGTTTAATCTAGTTTGAGTTTTTATGCCTACAATCAGAAACTAACCATTATGGAAAGAATTGCTGGGATTCAAGCCAGTGGACCCAGAGCTTTTAGTGCTTTGAAAACCCAAACCGAGAAAGCTCTGGCTGGGGGCCTCGAGGCTTTCTACATCCAGAGCTGGGGATGAGAACACAGGCGTGGGGGCCAGATGGGGCTTCACTCACAGCCCTGCCCAGGTGGCATCTCCCTGTGTGCTCACTGCTGCTCCGGAGGTGGGGGGGCGGGGGGACAGGCAGCTAGGATGTGGGCTGGTTACTGCACCCATGATGGGGCTGAGCCTCAACTGAGGGGCTGGTGTCTGAGCTCGGGGGTGCAGCAGGGCCCCAGTGTCTGGGGAGGATCAGGGGGAAACAGCTGCCTAGTGAGTCGGCAGGTGAGCTCCTGGGAAATCTGACTCTCTTGTTTCGTGTAACGCAGCCCACTCTCATGCCCCAGGGCCTTTGTATGTGCTGATCCCTCCACCTGGGATGCCCTCCCCACTTCATCATCTGATGGACCTTTAGTCTGCCTTTGAAATTCAGCTTGAGGGACACCTTCTGGGGCAGTGTGAAAGCGTGGCTGCAAACTGCCCACCTCTCCTCCCGTCAGGAGGCGTACCATACATCCTCATGCTTGATATGGTTGGTCTTCTGACCTTCACTTTGGCCAGTCCTAAGTGTGCGAGGTGATGCTGTGTCTCCTGAGCCTAAGTCCGTAAAGGCCATGCGGCATCCATCTTGTCGCTGGGAGGACTTGTTCTGGAGTCCCGGAGACACCGAGTCCGAAGCCCAAGGCCACCGTGCTGGAGAGCCCACACGGAGCCCCTGAGGTGGACACTTCCAGCCGAGCCCACTCTTCAGACGGCCCGTCTTGCCCAAGTGTCACAGAGCAGGGCAGGCGCAGCCCCCCGGTGCCCGGTGTGGATTCCCAACCCACAGAACCTGCAAGCACACGGAGCTTGCTTTGGAGCAAGAGATGACTGGAACTCCAGCCTTGAGTCCTTCAGGCAAACTTCAGCTTTTTTCCTGTTTTAATTCTCTCCCCAGAGTTCCTCACACGCTGCTCTGGCAGAGCCCTGACCACACGGGCTGCAGTGTCTCATTACGCCTGTCTCTTCTGCTGCACTGTGGAGTTCCAGGGAGATCAGAGGCCAGGGACAGGAGGTAGGGACAGGCGTCCGACGCGGGCGTCCGTGTGGGGGGCGGGAGGTAGGGACGTGCGTCGTGCCGGGGACGGGAGGTGGGGACGTGCGTCCGTCGCTGCGTGTCTGTGCCGGGGACGGGAGGTGGGGACGTGCATCCGTCGCTGCGCGTCCGTGCCAGGGGCGGGAGGTAGGGACGTGAGTCTGTCACTGTGTGTCTGTGCCGGGGACGGGAGGTGGGGACGTGCGTCCATCACTGCGTGTCTGTGCCGGGGGTGGGAGGTAGGGACGTGCATCCGTGCCGGGGATGGGAGGTGGGGACATGCGTCTGTCGCTGTGAGGCCATGGCGGACGGGGTTTCGGGAAGGGATGCTGCAGTCCGATTGGGGGCCGCTAGGAGGCGGCAGCGTGGATGGGCAGAGACCCCTGGGCCAGGTGGCCCTGCTGCGCCTGTCCCCCAGCAAGAGACCTGGCTGAGCCTGCTTCTCCAGCCCACCAGCCGCGCCTCTGGTCCCTGGGGCTCCCAGAGCCCATCGAGTAAGCAAGGTTTTCAGGTCGGCTTCCACTGCCCGCTGTGCGGAGCGTGAGTCCAGAGCGTGTCTGCGGGCACCCACCACCCCCGCCTCGTGGGCACCGGGGCCCTGGGCTGCGAGCAGGCCTCCGCCTACATGGCTGCAGATGTGGCGGGAGGTCTTCGGGCAGGAACCCTCCCCTCCAGCTTGTGCTCTGCCCCCTCTGCCCTCACCCAGGCCCGAGAGAGGGGCGCTGTGAGGGGGACCCTCGTGAAAGATGCACACCAGAAATGCTGTGCTGTCCCTCGGGGGCCGTCATGGGAGACGTGAGGGGACATTCAGCGGGCAGGATATGTCCCAGTGAAAAAAGATAACAGCCTTGCCCTTTTCAATGTACCCAGTGTGAATGTCAGGCAAGCATCTTGCTTCAAATAGGCCGTATGTGCTCATGGTGCAACACTGCAAAGCACCAAAGGGTCCCTAACATAAACTAGGCCTCCCTCCGGGTCCCCAACTCCTGGAGGCAAACCCTGGTAGCGCTTCTTATGTGGCCCCAGGGAGGTTCTCTGCGTTTCATGAAGGCACCTGTGGTGCCTGGCACGGGTGCATGCTGCCAACCTGCTGCCCTCCCCCGCCCTTCTGCGTACCCCAGAGACCGTACTCCAGAGGTCCTGGGCGGCAGCTTCGGGTTGGCTCCGCGGAGGTGAGGCGCTGGCAGGAGACCTGGGGTAGGAGGGAAAATTCCTCACTTCCCGCTTCTTTCTGCCTCGAGTGGCCTCCCCAGCAGCAGCTGCGTGTCCCCCGGGATGGCTGGCAGCAGCCTCACGCGTTGTCCCCCGTTTGGGTACAGCTGCTTCCTCTGTCGCCCGCGCCTGGGCTGTGCCGGCCCCCCAGCCCCCCAGCACTTGCTTCCTCGACTCTGGTACCATTTGCCCAACCCGATTTCCTGAGTTAAATTCTCTCAACACAAGAAACCTTGAATGGAATCTGTTTTTCTAATCAGACTGATCCCCTTTCTTAAAGGTTAGCTGAAAGGTTAGCTAAAAACTTCCGTGAGTTCACCTAAGTATTTCCCTTTCTGTTCCACCCAAATTATGACTTTCATTTTTTTAAAATTTTTTTTAATGTTTTTTATTTATTTCTAGGAGAGAGAGAGAGACAGCATGAGCAGGGGAGGGTCAGAGAGAGAGGGAGTCACAGACTGAAACAGGCTCCAGGCTCTGAACTGGCAGTCAGCACAGAGCCTGACGCGGGGCCCGAACCCACGAACTGCGAGATCATGACCTAAGCGAAAGTCGGACGCTTAACCGACTAAGCCACCCAGGCGCCCCTAAATTATGACTTTCAAACAGGGTTCTGCACCTTCCTTCTTCACTTATGGATGCGCCTTGTAGGGTTGTTGTTACTTTTCTGTAGCAACGTAGACTGAGCTCCCTGGTTTTTTTTAATGGCCACGCAGGATCACTTTGTTTTGAGCAGTCCCCAAAATGGCGGTGGAGGCCGTTTCTGGGTTTTCGCTGTAACTTCTGGTGAACGTCCTTGTGCCCGTGCGGAGGTCTCTCCTCAGGACACACATGTAGGAGTGGTAGTGCTGAGTAGGCACACTTAGGGTTTTGATAGATGCCAGCTTGCCTTGCAGAGAAGTTGTGTGAACGCACACCCCCCTCCCCGGCAACGTCAATGTGCAAGCCCGAGCAGGCCCTGCATTGAGGGGTTTGTGAGTCCCTGGTGTGCAAGTGTCCCGAATACTTGTCACATGAGGTGCCATGGGCAGGACCAGGTCAGCAGCCGCCGGCTCGGCCACCGACAGGCTGGATAGCCTCGACATAGTGCCTTGGATTCCATGATCTCGGAGCCCCCTTGCCCTCTTACCCCTGGATCAAGGCCTTCCAAACCCAGCAGAGCATCAGAATCCCTGGGAGAGCATTAAAGGTGATGGACCCTGGACTCCATCCAGGGGTTCAGGGGCAGCAGCCCACGCTGGGACCTGCAGTGCACTGTGAGCCCCCAACCCGAGCCAGGGCAGGGACAAGTGACTCTCCCCCAGCTGCTGGGGGCAGCCCTGCCCAAGGTCATGTCCCCTTCCCGGGGTGATTGCATCCACTGACTGGTCCACTCGACGTGGGAAGGCCTGGCCCCCTCAGCCCAACTCAGGACAGCTCAGAACTGCATGTAGGGTCAGTGAGGCCTCCACGAGCTGCGTCTTCCCCCTCTGCCCACGCCTGCTTTCCTCCTCTCTCTTCCACGGGTACTGATCCCGAAGGCATTACCTGAACTCCATCTCTGAGCTGGCTTCCCTGGGACAGGACCCCGGAACCTGCGTTTCAAAACTACGAAGCCCTCCGCCCCTGCCCAGGCGACATGACTTGTCGCTTCTGCCCGCCGCGACGGTCACGTGGGTGCGCGAGGTCTGCCCGCCGCGACGGTCACGTGCGTGCGCGAGGTCTGCCCGCCGCGACGCTCACGTGCGTGCGCGAGGTCTGCCCGCCGCGACGGTCACGTGGGTGCCCGAGGTCTGCCCGCCGCGACGCTCACGTGGGTGCGCGAGGTCTGCCCGCCGCGACGCTCACGTGGGTGCGCGAGGTCTGCCCGCCGCGACGCTCACGTGGGTGCGCGAGGTCTGCCCGCCGTGATGGTCATGTGAGTGCGTGAGGTCTGCATGTTTTCACTTTCTTGGTGCTGTAGGCACCTTCTCAGAAAAATGTTTGTAAATACATAAAACGCATAGGGTTACGAACGAAGTCATTGTTTTGAAATATGGTTATCAAGATAGTTTTTGAATTGCAATGTGATACGTCTCTGTATTAGCCAATCAACTGAGACCCAGCAGTGCGCTTGCAACTACCATTGTTCTGAAGGGGGCGGGGGGAGACGCATCCCAAGGTACCTGCAGCAACTGTGATGCCATACGAAGTAGCAGTGATTTCCGTGGGGACAGAACCCGGGGCTGCTGGTATGACAGGCTTGTTGGCCGTGGTCGTAATGGAGGTAGATGCTCAATTCGTCTAGAGGCTTGGGGAGATAAAGGGGTCCTTGTTGTTGTGATCTAAGTCCACACCCCCACGAAATTCTCTCTGCAGATCCCTGCTCCTGGGGGGGACCTCCCGGGGTCTAGTGGGGCCCCTGGCCTGACGTGTGTTCATGCTGTAAGTCTCCAGGTGGCCTCTACTGCCAGCCTGAGGGCAGATTTCTAAACAGTGAGTGGGACGTCCAGGGGTCTCTCTGATCTCTGCACCTGGTGGGGGCACCACCAGCAGCCCAAATGGAGCCCACGTTTCCCAGTGAGAGCAGGTTTCCAGTTACGCCCAAACAAGGCACCAAATTGTTTTCTGGATCATCCATCCAGAACGCCTGTCCCTCCTGTTGGCGGCTGAGCCTCCTGGACTTTTGGCTCTGATTCTTCATGAAAGTCCGGCTATTTCCCGCCCTGCCGGGATGGCCTTCAGTCTAGGCCCAGAGCAAAGGCACCGGCTGTAAGATTAAGGGCAGCACCCATCCAGGGTGTGTTAACTCCTTCACTCCTCTGAGTAAGTGATCGTGGCTCATCTGCTCTGAGCTGTAACTACAAGCCGGTGTAATGATGGGGATGGGGGGGGAGGTGTCTCAGATATGGGACAGAAGAGGCAGAACCCAGAGGGTGGCTCCAGGTGACCTTGCTGGCTAAAGCGCATGCCCATCCCCCCAGAGCCACCTTGCTCTGAATGATCTCATGAGGAGAACACTTCTCCCTCCAGCCCCATCACCTACTAGGCAGTGACACTAGGAAACCATTCACGTCTTTTAGCCTCAGTGTTCTCACTTCTTTCTTTTCTATCTTTATTTTTGAGAGAGACAGCACAAGCAGGGGAGGGGCAGAGAGAGGGAGACACAGAATGGGAAGCAGGCTCCAGGCTCTGAGCTGTCAGCACAGAGCCTGACATTGGGGCTCAAACCCACAAACCAGGAGATCATGACCTGAGCTGAAGTTGGACCCTTAACCAACTGAGCCCCTCAGGCGCCCCTCAGTGTTCTCACTCTAAAGCAGGACAATAGCACTGTGGCCTGTCTCACAGGGTTCTTATGGGGCCTGAGGGAGAGCGTGTGAACACTGAGCTCCGGTGAAGGAAATTCACACAGAGGGGAGGTTACGGATGCTTCTGGGAAAGCAGGGCCGCTGTGCACAGATGTGCATGTTGTCAGTGTTCAAAGGAGGCTGGCTTCTCTACCCCACTTGCCAGGCACCCAGCATCTATCTGCCCTGTTTGCCAGGCCACTCCACTTGGCACGGGACCGTGGAAAGTGTGCGCACATGGCGTCCCTGCCCTTGCAAACAGGCCCATTTGGCTGGGGGGCGGGAGCTGGACCTTCTGCTGTGTAGCGGGCTTCCGTGACTCTTAGGCCACAGTGCAGACGTGGCCGCAGCCATCTCCCTCCTGTTATCCGCGGAGGTGACTTTCCAAAACCAGCAGAGGGGAACTTTTTAACACCTTAATACCTGGGAAGTGTAGCTGCCGCCCAGAGGGCAGGCTGTCCACCACCGAAGCGGCTGTGACCTGGCCGTGCGGCAGAGAGATGTCCGCGCTGGCCCTGTGCTACACTCCAGGCTTGGAGGCTTCCTTCCGACTCTGAATGTCCTGCTGTTTTCAGTATGAAAACCCTGGTCTGTGTGACGCTCGACCCTGAGAACAGTCAGCCCGCCGTGGTCACAGGGACGCGGGGTTGGGGTAGATGGCAGTGAGCTCTTTGCAAGGGGTGATGCCTCGGAGTCCACGTCTCCTGCAAACAGACGTCCTTCAGACTCGAACCCCGGAAGTCCTCCACAGTTTTGAGGCCAGCAGAGGCGGGGCTGGAGAAGGCGTCGAAAGGGGAGGCTCCTTTTCCCAGCTCGACCCCTGGAGCCAGAGGCCGGGCTGGGGCCTGGAGGGGGCCTCTTCCTCCGCCCCCGTGGGACACACCGCTCACCCCCTCACCAGCCCCCCCGCCCCGCACTGCTTTCCAGGCCGTCCTGGCACAGGGCATGCGTTTCGGAGTGCCAGTGCTGGGCTCAAGGCGGACCGGGTCACGGTGGCGCCCTGCCAGGAGCTCCAGGCCCAGCCCCTTGCGTGACACGGGCAACAGCCACACCTCCCTTGAGGGCTGGCGGAGGACCGCCCGGCTGGACGCAGGAAAACACGCAGTGGGCAGCTGCCACACGGCGCGTGCTCAGGCCGGGGTGGGCGTTAAAGCCTTCTTCGCCTCTGTAGGCTGGAGACCTGGGAAGGACACCTGCTTTCGTCTCTGTGGGGAAGAGGCCGCAGGGACCTGGGCAAATCTCTGTCCCGTGGGGGACGTCAGCTTCTTCCTTTATGGAACGTTGGGGCGCGTGTGGGTGGCCAGAGTTGGGCCCTTTCCACCACTGGGTTAATTTTATCCACACCTGCAGGTCTCTGGCCCGTCAGCGAGCACTTTCTGAGCCCCTGCTACTGCCAGGCCCTGCGCTGGGCAAGGGGCAGAGCAGAGAACACGGAGGATACAGCCTGTGCGCCTCCAAGGCCCCGCGTCCTCTCTGTCGAGCCCCTGGGCGGGCCCCGCTGTGGACACCCCAGGCAGGTGCCAGGAAGTAGGAGTCCCACTCTGTGCCAGGCCTGGGGCCGGGTGCCGAGGCTGCACAGGCAGGGCCCCGCCCGGGGGACGGCACACAGCCGGGCTGTGGGGCAGCTGCACCCTGATGGGGGAGCCCCGAGGCATCACGCCTCACCCGGAGGGGCTGAGCCCCGGAGAAGGGCTGGTTTTCCAGGGGAAAGCTGAGGGCGGTCCCGGCAGAGCAACAGCAGATCCAGAGCGTTGGAGGCGTCCAGTCTGCACGTGGAGGGATCCAGAGAGTAGTGAGCAGGTGGGCGGAGAACCTCGAAGGGCCTGTGCTGTGAACTTGGACTTTATCCTGGGGACTGTGAGGATCAGAGAAATTGAAGGAGTGTCAGGTGACCAGTGGTACATTTTGGGGTGCTCACTCTGGCTGCAGTGTGTGGGAGGGGGAGAGTCTGCAGAGTCAGGAGTAGGGGAAGGGCAGAGACGGGGGGAGCCATAGACCAAGGGAGGAAGGAGGAGGGTGGGAGGAGGAGGTCAGGGGTGGGAGGTCAGGGCCTGGGGGGGTGGATGCTATAGGAGGAGTCTGGGGTGCCCCCAGGATGCTGGCTGGACCACAGGATGGGGCCGTGGGCACGTGGCAGTGGTGTGGGCAGGTGATGGGGGTGCAGGCAGGTGATGGGGGTGAGGGCAGGCGGTGGGGGTGCAGGCAGGCGGTGGGGGTGCGGGCAGGCGATGGGGGTGAGGGCAGGTGGTGGGGGTACAGCCAGGTGGTGGGGGTGCGAGCAGGCGATGGGGGTGAGGGCAGGCGGTGGGGGTGCGGGCAGGCGGTGGGGTGCGGGCAGGCGATGGGGGTGAGGGCAGGTGGTGGGGGTACAGCCAGGTGGTGGGGGTGCGAGCAGGCGATGGGGGTGAGGGCAGGCGGTGGGGGTGCGGGCAGGCGGTGGGGTGCGGGCAGGCAGTGGGGGTGCGGGCAGGCGGTGGGGGTGAGGGCAGGCGGTGGGGTGCGGGCAGGTGATGGGGTGAGGGCAGGTGGGAGGGTACGGGCAGGTGATGGGGGTGAGAGCAGGTGGTGGTGTGCGGGCAGGTGGGGGGGTGCGGGGCCGTGGGTGGGGGGTCCGCAGGCAGCAGAGGAACTGGCTGCGGGGTGCTGACAGCCGACAGGGAGCGTGGAAAGGTCAGGTTAGAAAGGGGCGACAGGGACAGAGGACTGAGGCAGGACCCCACTGAGAACCCTGTTTTCCTCCTGTTAGGAGGGGGCACAAGCTGGTGGTAAAACCGTGCCTGCTGTTTTCGTGTCCCATCTTGCTGGCAAGGAAACTCTTTATTCACTTACTAATTATTTATTGAGGATTTGCTATGCGCCAGGCACGATGCAAGCTCATTCTTTTATTTTTTCCCCAACTTTATTGAGGTATAATTTCCATACCATAAAATGTAGTGATTTCAAAAATACAATTCAATGATTTTTAGAAAGTTTATTGAGTTACATAACCATCACCAGATTCCCATTTTTGAGGACATTTTCATGACTCCGAAGGGCAGGATGGCCCCTAATCGCTGGTCCCACCTCTAGCCTGGGCGGGCACGGGCCGGGTGTCTCCCCGCAGGTCTGCCTGGGCTTCCCTGGGACCCTGCTAATTGCCCAGTTCAGGGGGTTCCTCACAATGCGAGTTCTCTTGTCCCTCAGGGCCACCCGCGCTCTGTGCACCCAGAGTGACCCCTGGCCCTCAACAGCCTGGTGCCAGCACCCAGTACCCACATGCTGCCACCACCAACCAGTGCCGGTGGGCAAAGCCAGCACCCCCAAATCCACACATCTGTCACATCGCCCCATCACCAACAGCTCTTTCCAGAACCAGCTTTGCGGCCAGGGGCTGCTCTAAGTGCCCGGGGTGCCCGCGCCACCCCCTCGGGCATCTCCACCTCCCCAAACCCTCAGCGCCTCAAGCACCCAGGGCACGCTCTCTGCTGAAGAAGAATCCGGGCAGACCCCCCGGTGCAGGCGGGCCCAATGAGAGAGCCGCCCTCCCCCCAGTAATCACACTCCAGTCCTGTGACCCCAGATGTCACACAGGCACTCAGTGTCACCAAGTACACGTTTCCCGGCAGCCCTAGGGTATCTGCCGCTCCCTGGATGGCGGTCACACGCTCCTTCCTCCCGACTCCACAGCATCTCCTCCTGCGCAGTAACCGTGACCTCATCGTCCAACCATGCATTCGGCCGCCCCCTGCTCCCCCAGATGAGCCGCCTCCTGGCTCCTGTCCGGCCGCTCCAACCACCCTCCCTCGCCCTGCACTGACACCCCCGTCTCTGCTGGGCTGCTCTCCTGCGTGGCTCTGCTTGACCTCACATCAACCTACTTCTCTCCCGTCTCCCAGCAAAGCGTCCCCAGAGCTCATCTGGATTTGATGTCCCTGCTCCTCTGTCTTACTGTGCACGCTGTCCTGGACCGGCTGCGGCATTCTGGATGGGAGCTGTGGCAAGAGACCCAAACCACAAGGGACGTGCCGTGAGGGGGCGGCCCCCCCCACCCTGTTCCCCTCCCCAGAGGCAACTCAGAGTACCCATCATGGTACCCCATCATGGAAGTGAACACCTCCATCCCCTCAAACCGAGCTTTTATCTGTGCCCGAACCCCGAAAGGCCCTATCAGGCCACCAGTGACCTACACGGGGCCAGAGCCAAAGGCCACCTTTCTCAAAGCCTCAGCAGCGCTGGCACGGACACCCGTTCTTGGGGCGTCCCTGCCCCCCTCCCACTCCCGCCACCCTGTCCAGCCCTCCTTGCTGGCCCCTCCTCCTCCTCTGAGTTCCCTGAGCAGTGCTGTGCCAGGCCGTTTTCAGGCTTCTCCCTGCAGCCCCCGAACACTTCGTTTGCTGATGTGCTGATGACCACGTTTTCGGAACTCCGGGCCAGGAGCTTCCACCTTCCTACATGTTGTTCGTCTTGCAGCATCTCAAAGTAGCAGAAGTGCCGATTACAGAAATACTGCTCGTCTTCGGCCCTCCTGGGCCCTGACCCCCGCTTCCCGGGTCACCTGTTTGCTCTGACAACGGAGCTCCGTTTCTGCCCAAGCATCTCGTTCACGTCCGCTCCCTCTTCTGCCTTCCGTCTGACCCCCAGCCCTGCCTCCATCATCGGGCACCTGGGAGGGCACAGCCTCCTCCCCAGAGCTGTGCTCCTTCCTCTGTACGGGAGCCGGAGTCTTCCAGTGGTTCCCTGCTTTGCTTAGAATAAAACCCCACCACCTCACCATGCCTGCCCCCTGCTTCTCCTTCGAATTCCTTCCTGGGCTCTTCAGGACCGGCCTCCTCACCGCCTCTAGGGACTCAGCTCGCTGCCTCCAGGAAGCCCTCTGACCACTGCCACACTCTCTGCTCACTTCTGGAAGCTCCTAGTGTGCATGTTGAAGCCCCGCTGGGACCCAGCCTCCTTGAGGGCAAGATCTCGGACTTTGTTTTGTACTTTTTAATCCCCCAGCAGCTAGAACAATGCCGAGCACACAGAGAGAGCCCAGTGTCGTTTGCTGATGGGCTCCTGGAATGTTAGAGCAAGTTTATAGGGAAGCATATGTTTGTAAGCGTCGGGAACCCTTCCCAGCGGAGCCAGATCAGTCTGTGGGCTCTTTAAAGTTAAAGGAAAAAGAAGTTCTCTGACACATCCCCAAAAGCAAGGGAATCAAGAGCAAAAATAAACTGTTGGGACCTCATCAAGATTAAAAGCTTCTGCACAGCCAAGGAAACCACCCAGAAAATTAATAGGCAACCAACGGAATGGGAAAAGATAGTTGCAAATGACATATCAGATAAAGGGTTAATATCCAGAATCTATAAGGAACTCACCAAACT